AGGGAGAAGCAGCCTTCCCGTGGAGCAGGGAGCCCGATGTGGGGCTTGATCCCAGGACCCTGGGATCCTGACCTGAGCCGAAGGCAGACGCTTAACGACTGAGCCACCCAGGGGCCCAAAGCAGGGGGTTTTTATCAGGCAGATTACCTTACTAGGAAATTCCAGACTGATTGGTTTAAAATTCTACTCCTGGGAGAGGTTGAAATTGCTCTGAGGTTAGGTATTAAATCTTGGTGGGGCTTAGCACAAGTGACTCCATTTGGGGCCTGCCTTCCTTCCTTCCTTTCCTTTCACTTTCAAGGCAGGCTATGCTTTTTCTGGTTGCATCTTAAAACTCTTCCAGCCTCTGCTCATTACTGAGTTTCAAAGAGACAGCCACATTTTTAGGTATTTGTTACAGTAGCAGTCCACTTAACGGTACCAAAATCTGTATCAATCTACTTGGGCTGCCGTAACAAAATAGCACAGACTGGGTAGCTTAAACAGTGAACATTTATTTTCTCAAGTTCTAGAGTTCTGGAGGCTACAAGTCTGTGATCAAGGTTTCAGTAAATTTGGTTTCTGCTGAAGATACTAGGCTTATAAATGGCTGCTTTTTCACTGTCTTCTCACATGGGCTTTATTTTACTCTCCACTAGCAGGGAGAGAGAACTGTCTAGTGTCTCTTCCTCTTCTTATAAGGACACCAATCCTATTGAATTAGAACCTTACCCTTAGGACCTTATTTGACCGTAATTACCTCCTGGAAGGCCCAGTATCCAAATATCATCACACTGGTGGTTAGGACTTCAACATATGAATTTTAGAGGGACGAGTTGAGTACATAACATTATGGTAACTTGAGAGGCTGCAGTTAACATGGAATATTTGAAGAAAGATATAAAACATATAATGTGAATTTTTTTTAAAAAGAGAGAGAGAGAGAGAAACCAAGAAACAGATTCTTTATTTGAGAGAGAGAGCACATGTAGGCAGAGCAGCAGGCAGAGGGGGAGGGAGAGGGAGGCTCCCCGCTGAGCAGAGAGCCCAACGTGGGGCTCGATCCCAGGACCCTGGGGTTATGACCTGAGCCAAAGGCAGATACTTAACCGACTGAGCCACCCAGGCGCCCCTATTTTTTTTTTTTTTATTGGAGAGAGAGAGAGAATGCACAAGAGGGGCAGGGGAGGGGCCAAAGGAGGAAGAGAGAGTGAGAGAATCCCAAGCAAGCTCCTCACTAAGTGTTGAGCTGAATGCAGGGCTTAATCTCACAACCCTGAGATCATGACCCGAGCCAAAATCAAGAGTCAGACGCTCAACTGACTGAGCCACCCAGGCACCCTACATATAATGTGAATTTTAACTCTCACCCTCCTCAGTACAAAAAAAAAAAAGTATGATGTGATGTTTCAGATGTTTGTGTAGGTAAGGGACAGGCTATGATTAGCCAGGTAGGTAGACTGGGTCTTATAAACAACATTTAAGAAATTTTGAGTTTTATCCTGCTGAACAATTGAAAGATAGTGAAGATGTGTATACATCTGTGTGTGTGTGAATGCATGAAAGTAATTATATATGAATTTATCTAAGAGTTACAGCACCATGAAGGATGCGTTTGAAAGGGGCAATTGGAAGTTGGGTTGGAGAATTGAAATATAAATGGTAGATAGGAAGACCAATCATGTAATCATTTTAATAGTTAAGGTGACAGATGAGGGTCTGAACTAGAGTAGTTACAAAGAAAGCAGAGAGGAAAAGAAACTGATAAGCTATTTGGAAGATAAACATGACTGGTGATTGGGTGTAAGATGTGAAAATCTTATTTCTATTCTACTGAATTTATCATTTCAGTTTCATATCTACTGAAATTCGTTAGCCTTTCCTTTGTCTTTTCCGTAAGAGATAATCTGTATTAAACTAATACAGTGAGTCACATTGGGTATAAAGTATTTTTACTAAGCGGTTTTTCAGTTTTACTGTTTTTTAAGATTGTAAGAGAAATTTATAACCTTTTGAGGCTCCAGGTCTTATCTTGATCTAGTATGGGTGTTTTTGGAAGCTAAGGTTCTCCTTATGCATTTTTATTTTGAGAGAGATTGAGATTAAGAAAATATCTGTACTTTCTACCACATAAATCTCATTATACTCTTACTCCTGGTTACTTTACTATCATTATCATTTAGTAAATGGCTGATAAACTTATTAAATGCTGCCTCCTCATCAAAATTGATGTATCTATATTCAAGACACATCTGACTTTAGTTTTAGTTGCCTTTGCATCTGTTGGGAGGTATTCCTTTCTCTTTATAGATCTTTGTTTACAGGCTGACATTTGGCCAGTGAACGTTAGTTTGCCCCTTCGGGTTGTTAAGAGGTTGAAATGCTTGCATGTCAGTCAGCTGCTGCTCTGCCTTCCTGAGTCTTCTTACCCATCCTAGGCCTGTTTAAAGGGTAAAGCTTGGTTCAGCAGGGTCTTCCAGAATTAAGGCCAGTGTGTCTGTTGACTACTTTGTGCCTTTGCCAAATTGGTTGTGAAATGTTTTGAATATTATTGTTCAGGATGTATAGATGAATTTAGTTTTAACTCTTGAATTCAGCCTACACATGTTTCTCTTAGTTGATGTGAAAATATTTCACATCTGTTTCTTAGATTATACAATCCTGGTGACAGGATTCTCCTAATTGAGGAGAACCTCCTTTGGGGTTTGTGCTTTTGTTACTCCCTGTAGTTCCTACCTGAAAGTAAGCGCTAAAATGTTACTCTGCTGGATCTCCTCAAAATAAGTATTTTTCTGAAGTCATTCTGACGGTAGTTTGGGCCATTTGACCTTAAAAAAAAAAATCAAAAAATTTTTTTTTGTCATAGAAAGTTCTTCATGATACTATATACAACATAGAAGTTTTTCCCATACTTACAGAATTGGTCATTCCCAACTAAGAAATTCAAAATAAACTTTTCAAAAAATACATGTATCGGGAAAAAAAACTCCATCCAAAAAAAATTGAGGGATATTATATAGGTAGTTTTTACTTGCTTGGTTTATACTTTTGTTCAAATGCAGATAAATAAGTTAATATCATTATAGAAGTATAATTTGCAAGAGTTGTTTTTTTTATTTTTTGATTCCACTTTACTGCTTTTATTTTTTAATCTTATGACCAGAGCAATGATGAACTTTTTGCATTTATTGCTCTAACTCTGTGTGAGTAATCACTTTTCTTTCTGAAAGTGGTGTGAAATAAGTCTCCAAGATTAAGAGTGTAGTAAATGCACATCAGTGCAAATAGTTAGAAATTTAAATAACCTCCTCACATGCTCTGACCATTCATCTTTTTGTAAGAATAATAAGTATCAGTAGTACCAAGGAGTAAAGGTTTAAAAAAAAAATAGAGTGATTACTTTGTTTTACTTTAACGCATTATTAGATACTTACTATATTGTTGAACTCATTTAGTATTTCCTCTTTACAAAAGAGGATAGATCTTTGTGCTTTGTTTACAATTAAAATTAGGTTAGAAAGGAGGTAGTATTAGAATTATTTCTTTTATTTCTGTTTGATTCTCCACATACACAATTTCAGGGATACCCAGCACTTTACCTTAATCTTGTTTCTGACTAGATATTAAAGTAATATCTATTTTCTTCCTTTCCTCCTCTTTTCTTTCTTTCTTTTTCTTGATTATTTCCGTTCGTTCATTCGTTTTTTCTTTCTTTCTTTTTCTTTCTTTTCTTTCTTTCCTTCTTTCTTTCTTTCTCTTTCTTTCTTTTCTTTCTTTCTTTCTTTCTTTTTCTTCCTTCCTTCCTTCCTTCTGTCCGTCTGTCTTCTCTTGTCTCCCAGTTTAAGCCTCTAGAGCACGTCCTGGGAAGCTAGTTGTCACTGTTATTTTTATGATGCCCCTTCAGCTGTGGATTGAAAAATAAATAGAAACTACTTTCACAAAGTGTGTTGGTTAGAATCTTGAATGATATAAAAAAATGCTAAGAAGAAAGTAAAAATTATCCCTAGTCTCACAATAAGATATTTACTGTGCATTTTGATATGTTTCCTTTCTGTTCTTTTCTATGTATATAAATATATTGAAATCATTACATATATTTTTATTCTGTTCTTCTGATTTATTATAGAAATTCTTAACCTTTTTTGTGCCATGGACCTTTTTGATCATCTTTAGCCCATGGCTCCTTCTCAAAATATTTTAAATGCAAAAAATAAAATACATAGGACTGCAAAGGAAACTAATTATATTGAATGCAGTAATAAAACTATTAAAAGAAATTTATAATATGGTGAACACATAGGTAGAGAACTTACCACATCCCTCTGTACATGGTGCAGATTTGATTTGTTAATTTGTGTGTGTGTGTGGTGGGGGCAGTTGATCTTTGTATAAAAAATTACTAGAAATTGAGTTTTGGAGGGGTGACTGGGTGGCTCAGTTGGTTAAGCATCTGCCTTCGGCTCAGGTCATGATCCCAGGATCCTGGGATTGAGGGAGCCTGCTTCTCTCTTTCCCTCTGCCACTTCCCCTGCTTGTGCTCTCTTGTTCTCTCTCTTAAATAAATCAATAAAATCTTTAAAAAAAAAAAAAAGGAATTGAGTTTTAGACCATTTCCTTTTATTTAAATTTTTATCTTTACAGCCATTAACCAGATTTATTTTCTTTTTTGTAGTGCTTTTGTTCCTCTGAATGTTCCTAATAATAAAAATTCTACAGAGTGGGAAAAAGTGAAGTTCCTGTTTGAAGAACTTGGAAGTAGTCGTAAGTATTCTTTTTAAAAAATATTCATAATAGTTCATATTTTATGACTCTTGGGACTTTTTTGAGTAGTCTCTACAGTGTTAAGAATTTAACCTCACAGTTCTTTTGACTTGTGGTTAAAAGTGTGCTAGAAGAATTGGGAGCCTTGTGTTGTTAGACTCACTTCTAAGTATTATGTAGTTAAGTCTCTTCATACAATTACCAAGTCGAAACAAAAATATAATCTTCAAAATATTTTAGCAGTGAAGGTCTTATAATTTCGATGTTTGTTAATTCACTTGGGATTATATAGAATATGTTAAAGAAATGTGCTTGATATATTGTTTTTTATTTTTAACTTTTAGCCAGTGAGAGAACTACATATTGCTGTTTGATCATCATTAAATAATTTTTATGTGGAATATAAATTACAGAGGTTTCATATGAATGAAATAATATTTTATTATAAATTTACCTCACCAAAACATTTGGAATTGCTTTTCCAGAAGTTTCCCTTAACTTTATCAGTGTGACTTAGGTTTTTAGAAGGAAAAAAATAGGCAGGTTCAGGAGGTTAGGTTAAGAAAGATGCTCAATCATTGAAAAGTACAGTTGATATTAGAAACTGATATCAAATAAGAATGTGTATCTTATTCCTCAGAATTTCATGTGCATTTGAACTTAGTAATAACTTTATTTTCAAAGAAACCTACAATATTTATTTTATAAACTTGAAAAATGTTTATTGCTTTTGTATTCTTTTTAGTAAGCACTATACAGTCTTGATCAGCATTTCTTTTTCTTTATCCAGATATAATATTAAATGATGATTAAATTAAGTCTTGGAGTCCTTGCTGTACAACTTCTTAATTTTCTTGCTTTCCACTTAAGATTTCATTGTGTAAATTTTGGTCCATTAATACTAGCAAGAACTAGGATAGCAGTCCTGGCATGTATTAATACTGAATTGTCAGGATTTATGCACCTGATCCCATTACTGAGAAATAAATTGCTTCTTTTCTCATAGTTAACTCCTTCAGGTCTCTTGAGTAACTACTCTTCTGCCTTAAACATTAAGTTGTACACTGGTCTTTGAGTATTGGTATAACTTGAATCAGTAATTATATAGGTACTGTAGTATTCTAATTTCTGTAATCTCATGCTCTTTAGTCTTAACATTATTTCTTTTATCTCAAATCTTAAACACCATATCCTAGAGTACATTTTGCTTAATGGTATTAGTAATATTAACTTTTTTGACTGGCCAAATATGTTAATATAATACTCCATTTTATCAATTGTAGGGTGCGTATTTTCCCACATTTTTATATTTCTGATATTGGGATGTGTTTTATAAGTGATAGACCTTAAAATTGCTATCAGCTAAATACCAGATCTCTCCTAGTTTTTGGTTTTTTTTTTTTAAAGATTTTATTTATTAGAGAGTGCAGAAGCAGGGGGTAGGGGCCAGAGGAGGGGGAGAGGGAGAAGCAGACTCCATGCCGAGCAGGGAGCCCAACACGGGGCTCCATCCCAGAACCCTGAGATTATGACCTGAGCCGAAGGTAGATGCTTAACTGACTGAGCCACCCAGGCACACCTCTCCTAGTTTTATGAACAATTTCTGTTGATAATTCTAGTAACATCAAGAAGATAATAGCATCAGAATGTCTTTGATTTAATAAAATCTAATATTTTAGTTTTACAGAATGAAGGCTTAAAAATTAGGCTTGCATAGCAGCTTGTGAATTTGTTTAATAATATGCTTTCTTGAGGTGTGATATAAAACTGAGACATGAGTTTTAAGAAGATAAATGATTCTGATTTTATTGTTATTCATGAAAGATTAATATACATTAAATTAAAATTATATTTGGTTCCACAGGACCTGCATTTTAACTAGATCAAAACAGGTTCAATAGGACCTATATTAAAACTGAAAAAATTAGTATTACTCCCATTTATGAATATTCAAATTTGCTTAGTGTTTCATTGTATAATCTAGTATAATTATTTAAAAGTGTCACTCTTGCCTCCAAATTACTGGCCTTCCCTTAAACAATTTCCTATGTCTAAGTTGTTAACATAATATTCTTCCTGTGTTAGTACTTTGAATTTATTTTTTGTTTGTGTTTGCTTTTTATTTGGTTTTGTTTTTTTCCTGCCAGATGGGCAGTCTAGCTCCTTTCAAGTTAAAGAATGAAATAAACTCTTTAAGATTTAGTTTTAGGCTATATGTTGAAAACTTATTTGAAAATTAAGAAACTAGGAATATCAGGATTGCGGGCAGAGGGAAGAGAAGTAGTCAGTGTCAGTGGCTTTCCTATGTAATGTTATTTCTCAAGGACTGCCATTCAGAAAGTCTAGGATAGTTTTTTTGCCACCTTTTGAGCATCTAATATTTTGCTGATTTCTTTTTAGGCTCAATAATTAGACAATAATTTTTCTCTTTAATTTTAAGAACTGAAAGAAAGAAAATCTTAGTCCAAAAGATTTTTGCAAATCAATTTGTGAAGATCCTTTTAAAAACTCTTTTCTCAGGGCACCTGGCTGGCTCAATAAAGCATGCAACTCTTGATCTCAGGGTTGTGGGTTTGAGCCCCATGTTGGGTGTAGAGATTTTCTCCCCTTGGAGTTGGCACTTCAAAGATGAGGTAATATACATTGGGTTTATTCCTTAAGAATGTATAAGAAACCCAGTTTTTATATCTTTATATTGATTTTTTGAATATAAACATTTGAATAGTATATGTGTACATTTTTAACAAAGTTCTGCTTCCTTTGCAGATGGTTTAGCTGCATTGTCATTTTCTATTAGTTCTCTGACCTTGGTTGGAATGTTGGCAGCTATAACTTACACAGTAAGTGTAACGGTGATAATTGAGTTAAAATTAAGAAATTACTTTATGAAGCAATTTCATTTTACCTTAGTCATGTATTCAATTAATTATATTTTCCTCTTTAATATTTTAGTGCTTGCTTCTTCATTTTCTTAAGTTTTCTTTACTGAAGAGGAGAGTAAATTTTTAACTACTTAGTCACAATCATTTTATCTATATTTTTGAAATTTAACATTCAGAAACAAATTTTATAACTTGTGAACCTTGAAGATGGTTATATATTATGCCATAGTAGATTTAGTGATTTATAAGCATATTAGAACTTTGAACTGTAGATCAGTATCTATTACTGATGCAGTAGATTCATCCTACTTGGGTATGTAGAGTTTTTAAATTTAGATATTTTATATAATGTGATATCTCCTTAGTGTATAGAATCTAATCTTATACACTGAGAGACTACTTTTTTTTTTTTCAGTCTTTCTGGAGATAGTAAGGTATGAGTTATAGCCTGCCAAACTTGTGTACAGTCTGTTTTTTGAGTTTTTTGCTCAAATTATAGAGGAAAAACCAACAATAAATGCTTCTTACCTACCTCTTGAAAGAGAGTGGTATAGGAAGCTTTAAATTATCTAGAACCTTTCCAGATTAATTGAGTTTATGTTTACAGAATTCTTAATTCTTACAGAAATGGGAAATACTGGTTATAAAGAAAACATTTTTGGATATTGTTCCAATATATCTTTCTTTAGACATGAAAGAAATGGGCTTTTAGTGTGATAGCAGAATCTAATTTTGTTACATAATTATTCAAGGGTCATCATTTAGAATAAAAGCAGTCTAAAATACATGCATTTTAATATGTCAGGTGCTTATTTGGATACTCTGTTTTATTTATTGCCATTTTTTTTTTTTTAAGATTTTATTTATTTATTTGACAGAGAGAGACAGCAAGAGCAGGAACACAAGCAGGGGGAGTGGGAGAGGGAGAAGCAGGCTTCTTGCCGAGCAGGGAGCCCGATGCGGGACTCAATCCCAGAACCCTGGGATCATGACCTGAGCCGAAGGCAGACGCTTAACAACTGAGCCACCCAGGCACCCAATTTATTGCCATTTTTTTCATGGATTACTACATAAGGAATTTGTCATACTATTAGTGGTAATTATGCTTCCATCTCACAGAATATATGTGTGCTATCTTTAGTTATTTGTCTTTTTAAAATTTATTTATTTTTTGGAGAGAGACAGAGAATGTGAGCGGGGTGGTTAGGGGCAGATGGGGGAAGAGAGAGAGAGAATCTTAAGCAGGTTCTATGCCTGGTGTGGAGCCCAACAGGGGGCTCAGTCCCACAACCCTGAGATCATGACCTGAGCCGAAATCAAGAGTTGGACGCTTAACCAACTGAGCCACCTAGGCACTCCTCTTTCTTTTAAGAAGCAGTCACAAATTGGGCACCTGGGTGGCTCAGTCGGTTAAGCGCCTGCCTTCGGCTCAGGTCATGATCCCAGGGTCCTGGGATCGAGTCCCACATCAGGCTCCCTGCTCTGCGGGGAGCCTGCTTCTCCCTCTCCCACTCCCCCTGCTTGTGTTCCCTCTCTCGCTGTATCTCTCTCTTCAAATAAATAAATAAAATCTTTAAAAAAAAAAAAAAAGCAGTCACAAATTAACAACAAATTAGGAGTTCGACCTCAACTCTAATTGTTATTCTGTGACTGATGTGTTAAGGTGATTTTGCGTGTTTTTTAACCTTCCTGGGTCAGGGTCTTTCCCATTAATGAGAGTAAAAAAATGCCTCTTAGAGGTTTTTTGAAGGTCAAATGATACTGTGTAAAAGTGCTTTGAAAACTATAGGAAAATGAGTATATAACAGTTGATAAAAGATTAGTCAGGAGAAACAGATGGAAAAAGAGGAAACCAATATGTAAGGTCAACATCAAGAACTATGAAAGGTCTAAGATTTTACCCTCGTTGTAGCCTGTTACAGTTCTGTGGTTGTTGGCTGAAGATGCAGGACTTCTGGGTCAAAGAGAGACCTTTGTATTACAGCAATAACAATAGCCTTAGCATTAGCATTTTCCTTTGCTGGTTTCCTCAGTTCCAATTCCCATGGGGTAATGTGAAGTGCACCAGATGATACTTCCATATAGAAGAGGAACCTTTGAACTTATGGAAGCTGAAGCTTTTATAATGGACAGTAAGTCTGCTTGCCCTTTGCTCCAGAGGAAGATGCTATCTTTGTTTTCCAAGGCTATTTTTCTATATAAACATCCTTGAAAAGATAGTATAGAAAAAAATGAGCATTTGTGCCTGGTTTGCAAGGTGTGAAGAAATTAGAGACCCATGGAAGATTGTCTTCCAATAGTCAAATGGTATTTGCTATGAAAAAAAATAAAGCAGTATAATGGCATAGACAATACTGGAGGTTGGTTCTACTATAAAGATCAGGAGTGACTTCTCTAACATTTGAACAGAGACCTGAGTAAAGTGACTGAGCCAGCCATGAAGGAAGAGTAAGTGCAGAAATCCTGAGGTAGGCACATGTATGCAGTGTTCAGATAATAGCAAAGAGGCAAAGCCAGTATGGCTGGAGCTCGGTTAACAAGGGGAAGGAAGGCTGAAGTTTAGATGAGAAATTAATATAGAGCCTTATGCACCATGGTTAGGATTTTGAATTTTCTTTTGGTTGAGATTAGAAACCATTGGAAGGTTTTAAATGGAGAAGTAATAGGATCTGTCTAACATTTTAACACTATTACTCTGGTGGCTCTGAATTACATAAGCTGTGGCAGTGATGAGTGGGAGTGGGAAAAATCTGTGAAATTACTAAATTCTTTGAAAGAGAGCTTCCCTGTAGGAATGATAGTATTGTAAAGTAAATATTTTCAACTAATATTTTATATTACTCTAACTCAAGCTGTGAAAATGATCATTTAAATAATCAAACCAAATAAAATAATCATACTGATTTAGTTAAGATATCCTTAGAAGAACCTTATGTTTTTAGAATGCAGAGGGCATTGATAAACAGAGGACTTTATGATGCGGCCTAGGTTGGGAACCTGAAAGACATAGAAGGTATGCTGAATAGGTGGGGAGGGGTCCCTTAAGTCCTAAGCCCAGGGAAGAGGGCCCAATTTAACAGTATAGTAAGGTCATACTATCTAGGAGTTATATTTTTTCTTTAAGTAGCATAAGCAATAAAATGTGACTCTTGGTGGAAAGTCTTAAATGTAGATTCTTTTTAAGTCTGTGGGTCCCTTGAACTACTTTACTGTCTAAATTTACTCATTTCTAAACTGGGAATAATGTTTAATAAGATTATGAAGATTTAATTAAGAAATTTACCCAGTCTTGGAATTTGTTGGTCACCCAGTAGTCACTAATAGCTCAAATTGTTGAATATTCACAGTTTAGTATGGTTTAAACTATAACTCACAGCTCTTTCCACATCTTGCAGTGAAAGTAAACCAGATGCTAATAGCAGTTGTATCAACATCATTGAAAAAGTGGTTTATGAAAAGATGAGTAAGTCAAAGGAGGTATTCAAAGTTGGGTGGTAGTTACTTGGAGGAGGGGATGGATAGACAAACTTTTAAATAGCACAAAATATGCTCAGAACTCAGTGGAAGGATGTTTTGCCACCAAATCAGTCTGGCCAGTTTTACTATCTAGTATGTATAGAGAAGACCCTGTTTAAGCGGAGAGCATGACGTTTATACCTGAGCGCTAGTCATGAGTGAAAGTCTTTATGTAAAATCTCGTATCTGAACCCTAGCTTCCCCATCTGTAAAAATGGGCCATTAAAACTCAAACTTACTAAAAAGCTAGTTGAAAATCAACTGTTTATAGATAGGTGGTTTTGTTATAGAGAGGTGGTTAATAGTACTAATTATCATATTTGCTTGCAGATATAAAGTTTTGTCCTAACTTGTTATGGAAAAGCTTGAGAATTGAGCTTTTCACATGGTAGAGCATGGAAAGAGGGTACAGTATATATTCATGGGAAGTAGAAGAGATTTATTTTATTTTTTTTGAGAGAGAGAAAGAGAGAGGGCATGCGCAAGCAGGGGAAGGAGCAGGGGAGAGGGAGACAGAGTATCTTAAGCAGGCTTCACCCTCGGTGGTAAGCCTAAACGGGGCTCAACCTTATGACCCTGAGATCATGACCTGAGCTGAAATCAGGAGTCAAATGCTTAACCAACTGAGCCACCCAGGCGCCCTAAGAGATTAATTTTAATTAAAGCTCCCAAAATGGGAAGTTAATATTTAGAGTACTTTGACCCTGAGTGCAAAGAACTAATTATTAAATGTAAAGTCGTGTCTACTATAGACTCTGTAACTGTTAGTATTGAGACCAGAAAAGTTTTTGTTGTTGTTGTTGTTGTTGTTGTTGTTTTAAGATTTTATTTATTTATTTGACAGAGAGAGACACATCAAGAGAGGGAACACAACCAGGGGGAGTGGAGAGGGAGAAGCAGGCTTCCCGCTGAGCAGGGAGCCTGATGCGGGGCTCAATCCCAGGACCCTGGGATCCTGACCTGAGCCGAAGGCAGACGCTTAAGGATTGAGCCACCCAGGCGCCCCCGAGACCAGAAAAGTTCTTATAATG